CCCATCTGGGGATGGCCATGAACATTTGAGCACCTCATCACACCATTAATGCCCACAAATGGATTTTGCCATCTCCTGAGCCTGACTGAGGAAATGCACTCGCCTCAACCTCAGCATCCTTCCTTGGACATTTCCATTCCCAGATGGATTTTCACCTCTCATATCCAAGCAACCCACAAACTCCTACAGACAGAATGGGTGTTAAGGAAATGCAGCTCAGAGATGGAGCTGCAGAGCAGGGAGATGAGGGACACAGCCCACATGATCCACCTTGGCCAAGACAGAATGGTTTAGCTAAAAATCCCATTGCTAAAAAAAAACAAACAGTGGGAAAAATAATCTCGTTCTTCCTGAGGAGGAAGGAACAACTGGGAGCCATGGGAGCAGGGAGCCCTCTGAGCATGGAGCACGCATCTGCAGCCGACAGCTTCCAGATCAGACCGTGAAAAAGCTCCTGGAAAATCAGATCTGCAGATGCGTGCTCTTTATTTGTACTTAGAGGTGCTCCCAGTTTTCCACTTACATGCTGTCTACAGGTTAAAGAGAGGGAATGCTTAGCTGTTCCAGCAAGTTGGGTTTTTTTAATGATGTGTTTATTCATTTACAAGCTTTACATACCGGCCCGCCCCGAAATGCTGCGATTTGCATGTTACTACAGAAGTTTGTACAGTTTCTGAGCTGCTGCAGCTGGAACAGCGGTTCCAAGCCCCACAGTGGCACTCTGCAATACACTGGTGCTCCCTGCACAAACAGCCCAGGCTTTTTGCAGTGCTGGAATCCACTGCACTGCCAGATCAGCAGAGGGACCAGCTGGGAGAGCCTGGAAAAGAGTGCCCATATGTTACCCCAGTGCTGACCCCAAGGGTGAGCCCAGCACTGATCCCAAATCTGTCCCCAGAGCTGATCACTATGCTAGAGCTGCCTGTCCCCTCTTCTGCTGCCTCCTGCTAGGAAAAGGAGAAGGAAAGCTCCGCGTGAAGGGAAGATGAATCCTGAATCAGCAGAAGTCAAATTAAGACAGACCAGTGAGAGAAACCCCAAAACAAAGTGCACTTTATCTAAAACAGTCTCAGGATTTATTGGGGATTTGTTGGTAATTTTGAAACTACTCACACAACCTAATTCTAAAGTAGTTGGAGATAGACTGACACGAGTTGGAAGGGATCTTTAAAGATCATCTAGTTCCAATCCCTAATCTAAATGCCCGATTGACTTACCGTCCATTTCCACCATCTCCAAAGTTAGCTTATAACACAGTTCTAATTCAATAAAAATGTTAAAATATAAGATGCTATGATTCCAATTCCTGCTCCAAGCTCTCTCTAGAAATTTGGAGCTCACGATCCAAATTGTGATCCTCCCCTTGGAGCACAGCAGCCCCATTTCTTGCGCAGGGAAGGGGAGGAAAGGTTCATCACATTTCCTTTTCAGAGAAGGAAATATTAAAAACAAAAACAAACAAAAACAAAAACAAAAATAGGTGCTTTAAAATTTTCAAGGTGTAAACTAAATTACAAGATGCCCAGGAGTGTGCAATAGCATTTCATTGTTTGAGTTTGGAATAAAAGACAGATAATTAGGAAATTGGGAGTCTATTAATTTTCCAAATTTGCTCATGCAAGAAGCACTGAGCTATGGTGATATTTGCTTACCTCGTCATTATGCAAAAATATATTAGCTAATTATTTTGACTAATGCAATTAAGATATGCATATTTAGCATAAACTATACAATAGAAATGTTACAGTCAGCAATTGCCAGGTTGCACTCATGGGCAGCAGAGAGGCAAAAATCTCAGCACAGTCTCTGATGGTAAACCATAATATTGCTCCTATTCTGCCTGAACTGTTATTATTAGTTCTGTTGCAGTAATTAATTTGCTTTACAGCACGACTAGGTGGCACAGTTAGCAGCAGTATTAATTTTTGTTACGAGCCACCTGAAGATGTCAGCTTTTGAGCAGTAGTGACTGTGCCTTTAATTGCCTAAATCAGTGTAAATGCAGTAACTCTTGCAGGGATCCAATTAGGACACTCAGTAGCTCCTCTTTTTGTTCTTTACGAGTCCATCACAGAGCTCAATGCCTCTGTGGTAACTGCTTCATTCTCCTCTTCCAGCTCATCAAGGCAGTTAAGAGCCCAAGTCCAGTGCACTGCTGGGTACCAGTGGGCTCAACGGGTCCGAGTGGGAGCAGCGTGGTTAGGGAGCCAGCTTAGCACTGCTTTGTTTCAATGGCATCCCAAGTCCTCACTGTACTGCAATTTCAGGTTGGATGTCAGGGACAATTTATTATCCCAGAGAGCAGTGATGCACATGGATGTTGGGCAGTCCCCATCCCTGGAGGTGTCCCAGAACCATGGAGACGTGGCACATGGGGACGTGGCCGGTGGGCATGATGGGGTGGGTTGGTCTTGGGGATCTTGGAGGTCTTTTCCAGCCTTAACGTTTCGAAGGTTCAGTGGAGGATCCCTAGGTAGAAAAGTGGAGCACTGAAATAACCAGAGGCTTGACTGCCTTCACTCAGCTGCACCTCCAAGTTTGCTCAGCGCTGGCTGTGCTTCCAGCAGAGTCATTTTGGCTAATTCTACACTAACCATGTGGACTGTCAAATGGCTTCTGCTGTATTTTGTTGCCCTTTCAAATATTTCTCAAAGAGTGGGCTGTACCATCTGGTGGACAATCTGCCTGCGCATGCAGCAGCGATCCACCTAGCGCTGCGCTGATGGGCCCAGGCAGCCACCAGCACCACGGAGGAGCCTGTGGGGCTGTGCCAAGCATGAACATCAGGGCTGCCCCAGCTGCATGCAGCCTCTGCCCCGAGCAGGGCTGACTGCCCTCACCCCATGGTTTCCATGATCTTCTCATTGAGTGGCACTGCCCTTTGCAGCAGTGCTGTGCATGGGGAAGGTGGATGGGGCATCTCGTTGGGGACAGTTCTCCCGGAGCCACACCACCAAGTTTCAGACCTGTCTGCTTTCCTTTTTATTGATTTATTTTTACATATTGCACATTCACAGTTCCTGCTGACTCCACACACTTCTCCCTCTTCACAGCACGCTCTGATAGAAGTTGCCAGACAGGTTAGAGAAGGCGGATTATACATTGCTGACGGTAAGTATAAATCCTCATTTATATCTTACCACGTAAGGAACAGAATGGTCTTAGGAATATTACTCAAATAATTCCTTGTGAATCAGTCTACATTTTATTATCAAAAGCAAAAGCCTTCAAGATCATAAGAGCAAACCATTAATATCACCATTCATCTCAAAATACACACATCAGCCAGGTGTGAGAAGATCACAAGGTTGAAATAATCACTTTAATCACAGCAGAGCCCTCTCCCCCTGCGCACGCCTGTGCACAGCAACACACGTCTGCGTGCTAGATGTGTAATATATCCATTAGCTGGAAAGCTCAAGAGATTAGCAAATTGGGCAGGGTAAGACTGAGCCCCTCTGTTTCACTGCTCCCAAACCCCATTGCCCTCTGAAAGCTCTCCCACTTTCATGCTACAGAATCTGTCCTTTGGCCCTGGCAGGCTCAAACACATCAGCAGTACGGTACTTTGGCCCATATCTGGGCAACGTGGGTTATGTCTTCTTGCCCAGCTATGAGCTGAAAATGAATAATGATTCTGAAAAAACCTTCTGTTGATCTGCCTATTTCTCTTGCATGCTCCAGAAATTTTCAAAAACACATTATTTACCATCTTTATTTGCAATTTTTTGTCTTGGGAATATGCAACAGTGTGGCAGCCTTTCTAAGCCAGAGTTTGGAGAAACAGGGAACAGTCCTGCAAACAGGATTTCCTCCAAGGCAGCAGGGAGATCAGCTCCAAAACTTGAGGGCATAAAAATTAATTAAGATAACTCTGATACTTGGGAGGCTGGAGGTCCCCTGTCTGGTCACCCCATGGTTCCTGCCTTCCACGTGGGCACTACGTGCTGAAGACAAGAGTGCCCAGATGGATCACCTCTTCCAGACTAATACAGGAAATGCTGTGCCTTAGAATCATGGAGTATAGAATGGTTTAAGTTGAAAGGGGCCCTCAGAAGACAGCTGGTCCCACTCCCCTGCCATGAACAAGGACACCCACAGCTCCATCAGGTGCTCAGAGCCCCATCCAGTCTGACTTTGAATGCAGCAACCAGGCAGCCTCCACCTCTCCAGGCAAGTCTTGCCTGTACCTTATTGTGCCTTAGTATAAAAAAAACACTTGGTGATATAAAAGCCCTCAAAACACGATGAGTGCAGAGACATTGTATAATACACCAAGGACCACCACGCTTCTCTGTCCCTGTGCAGGAGGCACTAAGCCTCACTCATTGTCAGAGCCTCTTTTGGAGCCCCACTCCCATGTCATTCCATTCAGACACCCGCAAATTCCGCTGCTGCTGGCAGCTCTCCCAGTGCCAAGGCAAGGCACTCCTCCCACCCCAGCAATTTGTCCTACCAGAGAGCTCCTCTCCCATGGAAGCTAGGGAATTACACAATGTGAACACACACCAAGGAGAGCCTGGACTCCTGAAACCGTGCTGGCATCCAAGAGCCGTTAATCTTCTTAGGTAATGATGAAAAATGCAGCGGAGATGATGATGTAACTCACCAAGGGGGAATAAGAAGCTGCAGTGAATGGATGGCTTGGGTTCTTCTGTTTATCCCATTCTCAACTTAATGACTGCTCCCAAATATTTTTTAAAGCGCTGCAAAAAACACGCCCCTGTAAGTAGCCTTTTCAGTACTGAGAAAAGGAACTCACACCAGCAGGGAGAGATTGCCTTTTTCTTCCCTTTTTTTCCCCCTTTAATTAATTCCATGAGGAGAACAGAAGAGAAGAAGCCCTGGGCACACTGACACGGGACCACAGGTGCACTGTGTGCAGTAACACACACCTATAAAAAAGGTGTGCGAGAGCCTGCCAGAGCACGCTGCCAAACCACTCCATGTGCATGTTATACTGAAATATAAGGGAAAGGCAGTAAGATAAAAAAAAATACCTCCTGGCTTCGTCCCATAAGTGACTCAGGGACACAGCTGTGCTGAGGCCAGCAGCTCTGCCTGTCCGCACGCACTGGGGAAGCACCCACGGGGCTGTCGCATGGGGTGCCTGTGACACGGGCAGAGCATCACAGAATCACAGAACCATAGAACCATCTTGGTTGGAGAAGACTCCCAGGATCCCCAAGGCCAACTCAACCCATGGGACATGCCCATTGAGTGTGTCCCCAAGTGCCACATCTCTATGGCCCTGGAACACCTCCAGGGATGGCAACTCCCACACCTCCCTGTGCAGCCTGTGCCAAGGCATCACCGCTATTTGAAGAAGAAATTTTCCCTGCTAATCAAGCTGAATGTCTTTCCTAATATCCACCCAGGGCTGCATGGGAGCAGGGGAGGAGCTCGTTCCCAAGCAGCTCTGATCCTGCCCTCAGGGATGTGGCTGGAAGAGGACAGTGGGGCCAGTGAGTCCCATGGGGTCGGACTACACAAGGAAACCTTTCCCATTGCCCCAGCACTGCTTGTGTGCACAGTGGGAGGACAGGAGTGAGCACATACCCAAAGTCTTTATCACAGACTGCATCTTCTGCCCACACTATAACAGAAAAATACCCCACAGACCCCACCTGCAGCTCTGTCTGAGCCCCAATGCTTGCACTCTGCAAATCAAACTGAGAAATATTTATTGTATGGAGAATGTGCTCCATAATTAAAACTTTCTGCTATTAGGGAGTTTATGATCTAATGATGCTATAGGAAGCAGAGTTTATGGTCACTGAACCAGTACTTGATTCTGAGACTGCAATTAACAAATCACAGAAAGAGTGCATCAAAGTGCATCGTTAGAGCCAGAGTTGCCCTCCTTTAATGAAATGCTAGCTTTAGTAGTATAATTATTAAGATCACCATTTCACTATTATAGTAATAACTGTAGATAATTGCACAATATTATCTTTCACAGAATCATCTTCTCTGCATAAATTAAAAGGTTCAGAATATAATTCTCAGGGCAAAACCCTCCCAGGAAATCCATGGGGAAGATCAGAAATAAACAGCAGAAGTGATGACTTGCCTTGATTGCAGCAAAGACATGTGGCTTCATCATGTGTTTCTTTCATAAGGTGGTATCTCTGCCTAATTGGCCTACAGGGACAGAGCAGCACTACAGAAGAATAAATTGTTTGGCTGTGTGACCGGAGGTACAGGGAGTCCAATAGAGTTAAATCGTGGTTACAAACAAAAGTAATGGTTACATGACATCTTTGGCTCTATTTTTAATTAACTGCCAATAAAGCTCTACAGCAATTACCAGTTGCCCCAGTCCCCACCACCCATGATATATAGCTGTTGCTATTAGTTCTGTTGTTGCTGTTTTTACTCCATCTTCTGGCGAGGATTGAGAGGAGAGCACAGCCCGCCTGCTTGGATCTCAGAGAATCAGAGAATCAGAGAATCTTGAAGGTTGGCAGAGACCTCCAAGCTCCCCAAATCCAAGCCCAACTCACCCCCTCCTTACCCACTGACCACGTCCCCAAGTGCCACATCTCCATGGTTCTGGAACACCTCCAGGGATGTGTTACCCAGAGAGGAGATGGATGCCCCATCTCTGGAAACACCCGAGATCAGGCTGGACTGAGCTGTAGGTCTCCCTGTTCAGGGAGTTGGGGTCAAATAGCCTTTAAAGGTCCAGCTGAGATGATTCTATGATTCTGTGATTCTTGCTGGCTTAGGAGCAAAAGCCTTGGCCAGTGACACAACAGACGACACAAAGGGAAGGCTTTGGGGCTCAGCCCCGGCTGTGAGGCATGTTCACAAACCCATCATCTGGCTGTGTTATATACAGGCCTGAAAGCAGCGATCAGAGACCTTGTCTCCCCTCTTCTGTTTGTGCACCTTAAGCTCTGGCATGGAAACTCACCCTTTTTTCATCCACTGGCTGAAGGAGCACATTTCTGCTGTCAGGATTTTAACCAGAAGGGCTGAAATTGTCCCCTTTGCCAAAAGCCTGCAAGAAGGTTGTGTGTGACACCTCACCAGAGCTCTACCATGTTCTGCACAAACCACAGCAAAGAAAAAAGGAGCCGCACATAAAAAACTCTTCTTGGCAGGGCATGGGGACACCCCTGGGTGCTGATTTCAGTGCATCTGTCTCTAGGGGCACAAGGAGTAGAGAAGAACCCATTCTGGGGGTCCCAAGGTGACTTAGGTGCAAAAGTAGTACCAAGATGTTTGACCCTATCAGGACGACAGTTTCTCTGCATGTGCACAGAAAAACATTTTTATGAACTTTCAGAACTTTCCTGGTGAAACCTGAGCTGGCAGCAGACTTCAGGGATGGGATTTAGCAGCCTGTAGCATCCCAGCTGATCTCTTCCTAAAGTAGACATCAAACCACAGCAGATAAAACACGCCTCAGAAGCACTTATTTCTTCTCCACTGATTAGAAAGCTTAGATGCCCAGCACATCTGTAGATACTGAAAATACATGAAATGTCCCTTATCCGAGGTACCTAAAGGATTAAGCGAGCACCTCGGTGCTATGATGCTGTCTGCGACCAAAGCCACGTCAGACTTTCTTGTGGGCTTGGGCACAAACCCCATTATAACTCAGATGAGGATTTCTTCCCCTGAAAAGAATGGCTGCTTTTCTGGACTCACTTCCTCAGGACTTCCAGGAATGCAGTGGTGGAGCATTTGTTCTATTTACATCCTATGAAAAGACAATAAGGACATTAATTCTGGCTGTGCCAAAATCTGATCCCCAAGAAGCCCTTCCCATCATCTATTTTCTATTTGATGTCTAAAGAAAACACCTCCTGTATTTTCTGCCCTATGGAACAATGCAGGCTGCTCAGGGGGAAGGAGAGAAAGGAGCTCAGGATCTTCAACAAACGTATTAAGGGGCTGTTCTCTACACTCCTGTCACTTCCTTCCTTTAAAAAGTATTTCCAGTGAGTTCACCATCCGACCTGCAGGTACCTGAGGTCATTCACCTTGGAGCAGTGTGTGAGCAGCCATAGGTGCTGCATCCCTTACAGCACTGGCATCCTTCGTGCTAGTGGTTATGCTACGGGCAGACAGAGCTGCACCCATCTTACAAACAGGAAAACTGAAATGCAGCCACGTCTGCTTGGCAGCTGTTTCAGTCTAATGCACAAAACCCAGTTTCCACATCTATTTCTAGCCAGATGATATGGAACTGATGAAAAAGTCCGGTGAACTAAATACTAAAAAACAGCATCACTCTGTCAACAAGGAACCTGAATAGCATTGTGCTGAAGATCTTCTCTGTGCACTATTGTGATCATGAATGGTGGGGAGAAACATTAAGCACTGTATTAAAAAAAAAAAATGGAAAAAGAAAGCTTCAGATCTGCCTTGCTGGGAAACCAGAAAGGACACAGCTTCAAGTAATGATTATTTTTATTTAGAAAAACATTTTACAAGGGACTCTGTCCAAGAAAAGCAATCTGGGTTGTGTCTGGGCTGAGTACACAATGTCATCCTGTTGCAAAAAAAGCAAACATCATACCAGGATGTATAAACAGCACTGTCATGTGTAAGACACATGAAGCCATCCTCTGCTGGAGGTCTCTGGCCTGGGCACAGCACAGCAGGGATGCTGAGGACCGGCTGCAGGACCAACGGGGGAGGCTGTGGAAGAGACGGGGGCCAGGAACAAAGGTCCTAAAGGGGAAAGGTCGGGAGAGATGGGCTGGTTTGGTGTGGGAAGAGGTGAAGGGAGGCATGCATGGAGCTGCTGCGGAGAGGCAAGCAATCAGCTCCTCCCAGTGCACAGGGTAAGGTGCCACCAGTTCATGTCTACACCGGCAAACGGGGAGAACCTCCAGGTCTGCAAATGGAGATTTTTATTGGCACCATACCGCACAGCACACTGCCAACAACATGGCCTTCTCCCTCCTTACAATTCCCAACTTCTTTAAGAATCCCCACAAGGAACATCTTGGCTCATGCCGTACCACCTTGTCTTAGGGAGCACATGTCACCATCACCCTGTCTTAGCAGGCATGTGAGTTGGAACAGACTCTTAAAGGCCATCAGGTCCCTGCAGTGCACAGGGACGCCCACAGCTCCAGCAGTGCTCAGAGCCCATCCAGCCTGACCTTGGCTGTCTGCAAGGATGGGGCACCACCACCTCTTTGTGCAGCCTTCTCTACCCTCACTGTAAAAAACCTTCCTGTTATATCCAGTCTAAGGAAATGTCACCATCACGTTGTCATAGGGGGCTCATGTCAGCATCGCATTGTCTAAGGGGCTCGCTGCAGCAATGGCTCAGTGCTTTGATAGGAAAAGGTAGTGTTGGGTTGCACATAGTCCCTTTTTTGTCTCAGGTGAGGAGAGGAACTGCTGCAATGAAATGAACTCTTCTGTTTTCTGTCTTTGCGTTGTCCGCATTGATCTCTGCAAACTGTAGGAGGCATTGAGATCCTTTGATGCATTCCATCCACTACCAAGCCAAAAGCAGAGATACTGCAAATCAGTCAAAACTGATCTATTTATTATCCAAAAAAGAACCGCAAACATCTATTTTCTTTCCCTTTTTTTTTTATCTCCAGCATAGAGGAAGGGACTTAGCAGAGCATATTGAGCCGAAGTTCATCATGGAGGTGGCTAATCTCTCCTTCATGCCCCTGCACGTCTAAAAAACTGTACGAGTGAGCAGAAATCCTCCGTATTTCAGACATCCTGTGAAAGGTTGGATCCCAGGACAGCCGCCCCTTGGGGAGGAGGAGATGTGTGACCTTGTTTTGCTGAGCAAGCACATCAGCGGCTGCGGATGTGTAAGGATGTGTAAGGATGCTGTAAGCACTTGCAGCTCAGCTAGGGAGGAGGTCACGTTGCAGACGAGCTACCTGCCATGTGGGGCTCGGGAGGTTCACGCAGCAGGACGAGGCACAGGGAATGGAGGCAGTCACAGGAAACCACAAAAGCAGGAGGAGAGCTGTGCACAGCCCCTCGCAAAGCTGGAAAATGACTTACACCATCACTGCACCTGCTTCCTTTAAACAAAGCAACCTGCAAATGGTCCCATCCAGCTACAAGGGCACAGCCAGGAGAGGTTGGATTCTGTAAGATCAGTTTTC